TGTGTGTGTGTGTGTTTTGGGGTGAAAGCTCCACTTTGGTGTGGTTTCAGAAATATAGAACATGGACTTTTAGATTTATACTAGAAACATTTTCTAATCAGGTTGTGGAATGTGTGCTGGAGAGGGTCTGTTCTACAAGTTTATCCTTGGTACAAAAATACAAATCCACTTGGGCCCTGATGGCATGAACCTAGGGTGGCTATATAGCCTCTTTTACAGAGGGCACTCCCATATACGAACCATTCTCTGTTTGAAGGACAGTCCTGTTCATTTCCACTTTAGATAAGAACCATAAGAATACTTGTCACATGCTGTCAAGTCCTCTTGACTTATGGCAAGCTAGGAATGAATGTTCTCCACCTTGTCCAGTTCTTCATAGCTCTGCTTAGTTCTTGTAAACTCAAGGCTGTGGTTTCCTTTGTGGAATTGATCTTTCTCAGAGTTGGTCTTCCCCTTCCTCTGCCTTTGACTTTCCTTAGAAGATTATGTTCTCCAGTGAATGTTGCCTTCTCTTGATATGTCCGAAGTATAACAGCTTCAGCATTGTCATTTTTTGCTTCATGGAAAGTTCCAGCTTGAATAGATCTAGAAGCGCTTGTTTGGCTTTCTGTCTGTCCAGGATCTTCATATTTTAATTCTTGAGCATCACCAGTTAGCAGCTGAACAACACACCAAGACTGGGAAGTAGTCTTCATGTATTTAGAACATCTAAATGGATTCCACGGTAGTTAATGATAAAAGTTTTTAAAAGTTTTAAAAGAATAAAGCAATGTGTTATCAAGAATCAGTAAAAAGGCATGGCTATCCAAGCCATTTAGTGCAACCCATAAACTATCTCACAGGGCTGTCACAGGGCCATGTGTCCTCATTTACAGAGGATGGTCCTCTGTTTGAAGCACTACCAGAGGACTGCCATCTGTTTTGAAGTTATTCTGTAGCTGAAGGACTGTCCAGTCCAAATCCAGTTTAAAGATAACTATAGGAAGGGCTGGACCCAGAAGTTCTTCATCAGCATGACCCAAACAGTATACTAAGCAAAGCACACAAGTCATCTGTTCACATTTTCCATCCTTTGAGGACATGCGCTGTTTTTTATTTAGATTATAATATTTATTTCTAAATTTACTGACAGGATCTGAGGTAGCAGTGACTGATGAAGAAAGGGATCTTGGGGTTGTGGTGGACAGCTTGTTGAAAATGTTGACCCAGTTTGCAGCTGCTGAGAAACAGGCAAACTCCATGTTAGGCATAATTAGGAAGGCATTGAAGCTTATACTCACCTTATACAAAACTTTGGTGCAACCACATTTAGCATTGTGTGAGAATTCTGTTTGCCTTGCCTGAGAAAGGACATTACTGTGTTGGAAAAGGTGTAAAGAAGGGCAATTAAAATGATCATGATGTTCAAGCAACTCCGTTATGAGGAAAGGCTAAAAAAAGGTGAGTAAAAGGAGACATAATAGAGGTGTTTAAAATTATGTATGGTGTGTAGACAATTATCTTCCTCTCCCTAAGTATTAGAACCCAGAGTCACCCTGTGGAGCTGATTACTGGAAGGTCTGGGACAGATAAAAGGAAGTACTTCTTCACATAATGCATAGTTAAACTCAGGAATTCGCTACTGCAAGAGGAAGTGATGGAAACTAATTTGGACTGCTTTAAAAGGGGATTGGACAAGTTCATGGAGGAGGTGAACTAGCCTTGCTGGCTCAGTGGCAGCATGCCTGCTTCTGAAGAGGTCTGGTAAGAAGAGATCTTGCAGCCACCCGGCTTGAAGGGTCCTGTGGACAGCTGGTTTATCACTGTGAATGGCATGCAGGACTGGATGGCCCATTGGTTTGATCCTACATGGCCTTTCTTGTGTTTGTATGACGTATCCTGGAGGTCCAGAGCAAAATGTAAAACCCTGGACTGCCGGAACAGTGCAATCAGCTATTTAAGATTTTTACAAGACCAAAGAAGCACGGAGGCAACTTTTCCCTCTGCCCCTCTTCTCCTATCCATAGGATGCAGGGTTATAGCAGCCTTATTGGATTGTGCAGTTGAAAGTTTTATTCTTTCCTTGATCAACAAACTGATCAACCTTCTGATCAGTTTTGCTTGCCTATTTATGCAAATTTCCCAGCTCTACAGCAACCAGTATTCTAAGCATGTTTGCACCACAAATTTATATAAGGCATTGCAATATCAGCAATTCTATTTTTATTCCTTATCAAATCATTGTGTGCACAGAATTTTCCATTTTCACAGCTACCTCCCACTGGGTGTATTCCTGAACTTTGTTCTCCACCACAGTTCCAAGCTCCCTTTTCCGGTCAGTCCATGCTGGTTCAGACCTTACCAGGGTATTAAAATGTAAATCATTGCACATTTAGACTGAAAAAGTTGTACAATTCCAATCATGCCCCAGGCAGCAAAGGTGGTTTGGGAATGCTAGGAGCTGTTTAACTTTTTCCTACCTAAACTTGGATAGGATTACATCCTTAATGAAGTTAGGATTTAATCCCAGTATGCATTGCTTTACACTGAGCTGTATTTGCCATTGTAATATCCATTCTCTCAGTTTGGAAAAATCCCCCAGGAGTTGTTCAAAATCCCTTTTAATTATTTTTAAACCTAAATGATATGGTCTAAATGCAAACCTGGTCACCTCACTCTTCAGTCCTAACTCTAGTTCATTTATGAACAAGTTAAAAAGTATCAGTTTCTTTGGGGAACCCATATCTTAAATCCGTCCATTGTTAGAACTTCATGTTTCCTGTTGTTTAATTGATCCACAAGGGGCTAGGATTCATTTGCTAAGACCCTGGAAATCTGTTTTTCTTGCTAAATGATTAGTCAAGCAGGACAAAACCTGTCATAAAGAGACCAAATTTTAGAAAGTACTTTAACCCCCTGCTCAGCGAAAGCACTATGCTACATACTACTGCAGCATCCTGACAGATGGCCGCCAGCCTCTGCTTTAAACCTTCAGTGAAGAAAACCACCCAGTTCCCAAAGCAGTCTATTTCATGATTGAACAGCTCATAGTTAGGACATTTCTCCTAAGCTTTTACCAAAATCAACTTCCTGGCAATTTTCACCCATTCTAGTCCTGCAATCGATATCAAGGCTGCTCTGCCTTGGTGGTCTGAAGATACCTGAAGATGGCTATTACGTCTACCATTAATTCTTTCTTCTTCAGGCCCTTTCAGCCCTGCCTTATGCAACTGTTCCTCAACATCCTGGTCACTACTCAGTCCTTCAGTGCACTGCAGTTTGTCAGTTTGTCAAAAGGTCATCCTTAAAATGTGATGCCCAGAACTTGATGCAGTAACACATTACACGATGGCCGTGCTGCCACATTTATGGTCTTTACACAGTCAGGAAGAGGGCCTGCTAAACCTTCCAGCTGTTTTTCTGCTCAACATTGCCCCTGCATTAGGGTGGCCAGTTGTTCTAATATACAGAGGACAATTTTCTGAAGATTGGTAAAGAAGAGGGTCCTTGCATGACCACAGGCACCCAGTCCTAGTCTTCTCCACTATGTCAAGAGGAATTGCATTTTTGTCTCAATGTTAGCTATTCTTTCTAAATGGACCCCTATACCTACAATTTTTTGCATATGAAAATATGCCCTCTTTTGATGCATGATATTTGTCTTTCTCCTTCTTGGGCTGCTTTTTGATCTGAAAGGAAAGAAAGATATGAATCCTTGTATTGGTTTCATTACAGAACCAAAAGCATCTCTCTCTCTCTCTCTCTCTCTCTCTCTCTCTCTCTCTCTCTCTCTCTCTCTCTCTCTGATGATGAGCTTCTGTACTGCAACACCACTACAAAAAGGTAAAACTGGTGCTAGCACTTTTCTACTGGGCTCTGTACCCACATTGAGAGATGTTATTGGAGCAAATTCAGATATTTGCTCTCTCTCTCTCTCTGTGTGTGTGTGTGTGTGTGTGTGTGTGTGTAT